TTATTATATTATTATAATTTAAGAATGGTCTGCTCACATGTTGAGACTAGGTGGAATCTTAAGCATTGGACCTGTGTTTTTCCCGTTTCAGAAGACGTTTAAGCGTCTGAAAGGGATCAAGCGCTCTGGGACGCTTCCCTGTGTGAGGGGCGCTATATAAATGCAAGTTGTTGTTGTTGTTACTGAGCATCAGATCTGTGTTTTTCCCCTTACAGACACTGATTGACCTTGTGTTATATCCAGCACTGTCTGATTTTATTTCAGGTTTACTTCAGATACCGTTTCTCTCTGCAAGGTGAGAGTAAATCTTTTGCTCAAGAGGTCAAATGCAAAGGGGGGTTAAGATATGAGATTGATTTCAAGGGGTGCAATAATTCTCAATTAGTGAGGTACTAACTTAATTTAAATTAAACCATATTAATTTAACGCCTGGATTGTCCTGGACATCTCATCAACCTTCTGTTCGAATGATATGAGCGCAGAATGACCCCAAAGGAAGATGGGGATGCCAATCACTCGAGGTTAGAAACATGGGTTCCATCTGTATAGTTTTATTGCACGTAATTTTTTTTTAATGGATCATAAAGCTAAACAGAAAATTATACAAGTGAAGAGTATATGACTGTCTGACATCTTAAAAGATTGAAAAAAAGTATTAAAAAGTTTTCATTTCTATCCCAAGGCAACAGACTGCACTACAGTGCATCGATTCTAGAATGAATATATATAACTCTCCAAAATAAACATCCTCCTGGTTATTCCTTTACATCCTGCCAGTTATTAGTTTTCTTGTCCTCATTTTTCTTCTCATTTCCTTCTCATTTTTCTCTGGCTTTCTTGTTCTGCTTAGCGTTTCTCCCTCTTCCCTCCGCCCAATCCCACCGCACTCCGCCATCGGTGGGCAAGCTTTCTGCCTCATCAGTGAGCATCAGAAGTTTGTTTAAAAAACAAGCATTATAAATGAGACAACAACAACATCTATATATATATATATATATATATATATATATCGGGCCGTTCACCGTTCCAGAGCGCTCATGTGATCACCTTGATTCTTATATAGACTTTCTTATTGCATAACAACCAGGAACAGAGACTCTGGGTGATTTTTCCCCTCCCCTGGCTTGGGAATACTGAGGCCACTTTTAATGCCCACACTTCCGCCCTGACTCAGAGCAGCAAATTCTACATGTATCAGGGAATACACCTGGTAGGAACTCCCTCCCTCTAGGAAGCTCCCTCCTACCCTCCCTTGATCTGTTCATTGAGGTCTGCTGGCGTGATATTGGCCGTGACTCCCCTCACTCACTCATTCAAATTTTTCTCCCTCTGAACTTACTGCATTCCATTCTCTCACGTTCATCTACCTTGCAGAGGCTGAACGCCAACTCCTCTTACATCTCTCTGGACCATGACCCCACTACTGAACACCAAGCCATCATCTTCTAGTCCGTCATTGATCTCATCTCCTCTGGAGATCTTACCTCCTTCTCTGTATTCCTTATAAATTGCTCCCTTCCAACATCCCCCAGTTCTGACGAAAGGTCATCGACCTGAAATATTAACTCACTTTCCTCTCTCCATAGGTGCTGCCTGACCTGCTGAGTGCTCCCAGTGATTTCTGTTATTATCTCAGGGAAATACACCTGCTGTTATCACTAATCTTTCTAGCTTAGTATCACACCACATCATAGGATACTCCTCCCGAATGACTCAATGCATTCTCATTCCAATGACAGACTGATGTGAACTGTGTTAGAAGTGATGCCTATGGCAACAACATGCATTTATGTAGCCTTTCAATGTGAAAAAACTTCACCAAATGCTCAACGAATGTAGTGATGGGCACTGAGCAGGGAAATGAGGTTTAAAGAAGTTGAGCAAATGGTGTTAGGGGGAAAAGTTTTGCCAAATGCTTTTCAACAACAGACACATTGCTTTAACAGTGAAGACAGTTACCTTAGTGCTTTATTGATGTCTCATTCATTTATCTTGGCTTTCCTCCCCTTTCAGATAATCCATGCATTTGATATTGTGTGTTTCTCATTGTATCACGAGGTATTGCCTGCACGGATGAAACTTCAAACCAATGCCCTGTCTGCCTATTCAGATGGATGTTAAAGATCCATGGCACTATTCGAAAATACAAGGGAGTTTCTCCTGCTACCCTGGCCATTAAACTTCCACATAAGATTGGTTATTAATTTAGAGGCTGCTTGTTGGACATTACTGAGCGCAAATTGCTTAGCATTTACATTTGCCTACAAATACATAGCCACTGCACTTCACAGTCACAGTGAAGTGGAGAGCTTTGGGTTTGCTCCCATTTCTTCACAAAGTGGGGTCTCAGTTCAGTTGTGGATGGTAAAATTAAGTTAAAAGAGGGAAATAAAAGGCCAGTTCAGTGAAGTACAGCTCTTCCCAGGAGACGAGCTATGGGAGACTCCCTACATCAACTCTCCGAGGAGGCGCGTGACCTGAGAGTGACGGAGAAGGAAGATGTTACGGGAAAGTCAAGATATTTCAGGATTTTGTTTAAACATAGAATTACAATGAGAGCTGACTTTCTGACACACTGACTAATAAAGCATTCCGTAAGCTCAAAGAATGTCAATAGTTCTCTTCCTCCAAGGCATACAAAATACCCCCAAAAATGAATTACCACTCCATCTATTTCTATCTACCACTCCCAATTGAAATGAGTTTCTGTCAAAATTATAATATCACTTTCACCTTGTATAATTACTCTTGAAATTCCAGCAGGAATGTCTGTGAATAATTACTCAGGCATCAATTATCACCAGTTACAAGTGATTATGTGTTACGCTGAAAGTCAGCAGGACAACGTAATACTGGGACGAGCTTATACCATTTTGCTCCTGATAGTTGGGCTGCCCGTCAGCAGGGCTGTGGTAAGGTAAATAACAGGGAGTCTGAGCACTGCTCTACTCTAGCCATCATCAGCACGCAACGCTTGCCTCCCAATACGCAGTCAATATGCTTCACAGCAGAAATCCTGTAAAATGTTTGGAGCAGTCTTGACATGACAAAACTCGTTATGAAGTGGAAGGATTATATGATTGATGTGAGTTCACGGTACAGTACACATTTGGAGTGGGATGCGAGGCACAAAGGTCATCTCAATGTGGACTGCATGAACCCAGCACCACAGCTAAGCGCACGGACCGACCGGCCTCGGAAAGAGACGCCCCATTTTCCGGCACCTCCACATTTGCGCTGATCTCTCTCCTGAACCAGGCACAACCTGAGCAAGCCATAAGAGTTGTAATCAATCGGTGGGGATCCAACCTGAGCCATGTGAAAACCTGGTATAAATTTAAGTGTAAATTTAAGGGCATTAAGCTCTGCAAAGCTACCCCACATGAAGGTTGTTTTTATTGTTGTTTAATGCTCTCTGGAGGTACGTACTGCAACCTTTCTGTGTAATGACCTGGATTCGCAGACCTAGTGTAAGCTAATTAAATTTGCAGATGACACCAAATTGGGGGAAATGATGGAAACAGAGGAGGCAACAAACGTTCACAAAGCGAGCTTGGTAGGGTTTGCACACAAACTGATAACTGGCAAATTAAGTTTAATAGATAAATGCAAGATACTTCATTTAGGAAGTAAGAATGTGAAACACATGTATGCCCTGAAATGGATAGAACGTGCTAAAGGACGAAGCTGAATGAGATTTAGGGGTGTTAGTTGACTCAATGCTCACAATGCCAAAGCAGTGTGAGGCAAAGATAAACAAGGCAAACAGGACGTTAATCACACATGGTTTACCCACGACACAAAACAGAATTATGTGAAGAACTGCTGTGCACAGTAGTCACAAGACTCTAATGTAGGAGAAGGTTTGCTGAGCAAGCATACAAACCAATGATATGTTAATTCATGGAATGAGTATACAATGGCTTGGCACAGTCTGGGAGATTGGCATGCACTGTCGTGAAATGGCTAAAAGAATAAGACTTGAAAAAATTGCAAATACATTTTTTTTTTTAAATTATCATTCCTCTGCTTTCAGGTCAAATACTCAGTCTCACACAGAAATATTAGTTGGTGTTATATTTTGCAAGAACTGCAGTAGTGAAATGCACACTCTGGCGTCCATCAACGAAACCTTGGCTATCTCTGACCTGTGCCAAGTACTCTCTAAGATTAGGCGAACAGGGTGCATCCCTCCAGGAAGAGAGTGCGCATTCCATTTCAGACCCGGGGGAATATTCACATATAAACATGTGGAACTAACTCTCTGTTGGGTGTGAATGATCTTAAGCATGGTGATGGTCTTATACATGGGTCAGACACCCATCTGACACAAAACTTCACCTAAAAGAGAATCGCAATTTTTGCAATGACCCAATTTCTAAAACAAAGGCACCATTTTTCGCTTCAGAATGGTTGCAGTCTGGCCACACCGCATGTTGTTCAAATCTGACAAATTCTTGAAGATTATGCTGCACATTCCTTCAGTGCATCTTTTTTTCAGAACCGAGCAGGTTAAATCCACCCAAGATGGTTAATTAGTTTGTTAATGGTGTGATACCTGATAGATACATTTTGTAGTAACAGTTTACCAAACAGATTTAAGTAATTAACTGTAAATCACTTCATTAAATGGTTTCAGTACAAACTGTTGCGGTGCAGAAGATTAACACCAACTGTCACCATGAGGGAAAGTGCGAATTGGCACCTGGACTGTGTCAATCCCATTTAATCGTGGAACACTTTTATAACCTCACAACTCCTCTGCACCATCAATGTTGCAAGAGAGAGAGAGCGAAAAATGAGCACCGCTATCTCAGTGAGCCTAGAAAGAGGTTGGTCTTTCCTGCTCTTATCTACAGCCCACAGTTAGCATTCATGCTGCGCCGCGCAGTGTAACCCCCGGTATTTAACAAGGTAATCTGCCCAGCACATTGGCTTTCTGCACCGTGTCCCTATCTCAAGCTCATTACTGTACAATGTATTAATGATTGTTATCATACCCGCAGGAAGGAGAGGTCTCTGTTCCGATCAATGTTGGTAATCTCCAGGTTCCCCATGACAACTTCACAGTTTTCGTAATTCTTCCGCAGAGCCCGATACTGCTGCTCCAAGTCCGAGAGGGTACTGAGCTTGTTCTCTGTCCCCGCACATACTGTAAGATTCAAAGAGAGAGCAAAGATCAGAGTTAATAACCAAAAAGGCTTTTTCTGCATTATTCCGTTGATGGCTGATTCATTTGCAACGGAAAATTTCCACCCTCGGCTCTGATGCCCAGCAAAATTGTCGAGTGCTTTGGCGTGTCTTGCTGATGTGAAAGGTAAAGCATTTATATGTGCTACAATAAGGGTAATAATAATAATCCTTGCATTTGATATAGCATCTTATCATACAGTTAAGACGTCTCAAAGCACTTCACAAAATATACTGTAAAGTGAATTGACTGCATATTTTGTGGGCGAAACATCTAAGTGTAAATTGTAGTTGTTGGTCTGTTTCCTTGCAAAGTCACTACACTTGACATTAACACTTTGACCACTTGACATGATAAGCTGCTTTAAAATAAAAATCTTTCTTCTGAAAATGCACAAAGCTTTTTATTTGTTATTTAAACTCATGCTAAAGAAAGTAGATTTTGCTCCCCCATCAAATCTGCACTCAGACGTACAATACAATCAGTAAAATAGTATCTTAAAGGTAAAATTAGACGACTCAAAGTTTTTCCAACAAGCATAATCAAAATAAACTGCTTTGAAGCAGTCAAGACCATTCCAGGTGTGAACCTTAACATTGGCAAATTCCCATTTTTTAAAAAATTGACTAGTACAGTTTATAATATGGTGTAAACATAGGATATTAGGCTTTCCTTCATGTGCATAGAGTGTAAGAACAATGTGGATCACTTTGAAAGGTGCAGGACTCCAAGGATCCATTAATCAGTGATATCCAGGATGGACTCAATGTATCAAGTGTCACACTGCAAACCACAACGGTGCAATAAATCACACAAATACTTGAAGAGTTAGATAAAAGGTGCAATTTCAACACAAGATTGGGGAAGAAAACATGGTGGGGGGGGGGGCGCGTAAATCAAATTATCACTTGTTTTAAGTCAGGGGTATGAGAGTGCAGTGCAGTATTGAGACTGCTGCCTCAAGGATGCAATGTAAATGAACATAAGAATAAACTCTGCTCTTAAGAGTTGGACTAAGTTCAACTCTGAGCAAGCTCAGCTAAAATCTATACATAACAACAACAACAACAAGATTGTTGGGTATGTGTAGACTATACTGTGCATTCATCTCAATCTTGCATGGTTTCACAGAATAAGTTGGCAGAAGGATAGACTAAATAAAATCACATATACTAGGCAGTGTGAAATACAGCGACATGTACAAGTGCAGGGTCACATAAACAACCAACAACAATTTGCATTCATATAGCATCCCTTCATGCAGGTAGCATCTTAGAGCGCTTAACAGTTGCAAAGCTTGAAGCCAAGCTGGGGAGAGGGGGGAGGCATCTTAAAATAAAACTGCATAAGAGTTGAACACCAAGTAAAACTACTGATAGAAGTGAGACTCTTGCATCCCTCTTCTGTTTGTATTTGCACAATTCATTTGTAACCCGTGGCTTCTATTTGGGAAATTACAGCGAATAACCAGTGATCATGACTGCTGTTGGGGCATGATCAATACTCAAAATAATTCTCACTTCCAGGATTCCGTGCTGTGGTTATATGAAGATCTGGCATTTGTAAAGCCAGCTTTCAGCACATGCAGAACTTTGGGAATGAAATATAACAAGTCATGCACATTTAATGCTACCCAGATGTGGGTGTGTCACATGTGCAGGGAATCTGGGGACGTGCTTGCCAACCAGAGTAGCGGGGCTGGTATTTGTGAGACAGGCTATTTTGATGATGGAGTTGTTGGTCTTTGCAGGCAGAGGAAGGTGATGAGATGATGGATGTGTGTGTTTTTTTCTTCTTAGTGTACGTCTCCTGCACAAATTGGCTTTGAACTCACATAGTCCAGGCTACACGCTAGGGGAGTGCTACATTGTTGGAAGATGAGACGTTAAACTGCGGTCCCATCTGCCTCTCTAGGTAGATGTTAAAGATCTCATGGCACCTTTTGTAAAGAGTAAATAGTTTCTTCTGGGAGCCCTGACCAAAAGTCCCAGATAAAATTGATAAAATTAATCCAACAGATCAAGCATCAATCCACGTTGGTAACCAAAATTCAGTTGTGCTACATTGGAACAGGATGCTATGCAACCCCTTCACCCTACTAGACATCATTGGTGATTCCACAGAAGTGGCAAAGCCTCACCCCTTATTTTAGAAAGGAAAACCATAAACCTCACTTTACTGAACAGGATACAGGTCCTGCCACAGACTTTATTTCTCCTTTATCTATAGCGTGGTTGGACCAGTCAATTTATTGTTGCTCTCCCCCATATTCCTGATCTTCATCTCACCTTAATCTGGCAATCGTGCATATGTTTATCTCACAACTGCCCTCAGCTGGATGATCACACATAACAGAACAGAGGTGAGATGTCCAGCTAACAGGAGGGAGAGAAAATCAACAGGATCTCCAAATACACTGACTTGAGGATCCCCTACCAGATGTCCGTGAAGTGCCAGCCCAGCTCAAGTGCAAGTAGAAATGCCATCTGCACCTCAAAGCACCACCTCCTCTCACACTGTACATGTTGCTTTTGCGCTGGGCTGTATTAGTGGTGAAAAATGTATACTCCAGTAAGCCATCACAAAAGATATTCTGGTGAGGAATTGTCTTGGCTGATTTGATCTCCTCCTTCCAGAGAACAAACCCTACAAGTTTCCCATTACAGCATCGAGAGATGTTGATTCCAGTTTACCAGCTTCTATAACCCTTCCTGATGACCCCTTTCCAGCTGTTGATGTAAAACCCTTTTGAAGGATAATCTTACACACAAAAGTTAATGTGCCAAAATGTCTGATTTTATTCATTGCATCCAATTCAAGTACAAAATCATGGTTGACCCCCAGCTTGGTAGCCAGTGCTAAAGGCTTTCTGCCGTCCACCCAATGTGAAAGGCGCTATATAAATGTAAAGTGTATTGTATACATTCTCTTGATACCATGCCTTTTCCCAATGCTCCTGCTTGCATGACTGCTCCCACAGACTATGCAGCAGAGAACATCTACTATATTTATTATCCCATTAACAACGGGAAGATTCAGACCGGAGTACCCACACATATAAAACATTTAAACTGCACAGAGTGAAAATTCCCATTTCATGCAATCGTGGCTCAGAACTTTTAGTTTCAAAAATCCTTTATCAATATGGATTTTATCTCCACTTTCGACAGGACAAAACGTTGAGAGAAAACCCCACTGTAAATCTGCACTACTGAAGAAGCTAAACCTGCTAATCGTCTGTACTGTATGTATTCTGCACACTCTCTGCAGATAGCACTGCGCAGTGCAAGTCATTGCTTGCTCATTCATTACACATAATAGTCTGGTAATATATTCCAGCTCGAGTGAAAGCAATAAATTTCAACAGTAAAATTATAGACATTTTCCTTGTCTGTTTGGCTCAGATTCAGACTGAGCAGTGTTTTTTTTAAACCAACTAATTCACAAGAGACCCTCGCAGATTGCTGTTTAATCCAGGAATAATACATCAGAACTTCCTATGTTGAGCATACTATCAATGCGCAATATCATTAATCTTTTGGATAAGTGGCAAACTCAGAGTAGCAATGTATAATTCGTGAAAAGTTTTTGTCATACTATGTATGGACACATTCAGTAAATCTCCTTATTAAAAACTTTATCTTTGTGGACTTGTCTTTTGTAACTTAAAACCACTCACTTGGGGGTTCAGAAGGACAGGCAGTTGCCTACGACACCTTTGCATCGTCAATGCCAACCTCCGGCTTGCTATGAGGCAGAAACTTCTGCTTCAATCAGAAATGAAAGAACGAGGGTCACCCAATCATTAACCTGTTGAATGCCCAGAACAAACCCATTTATCTTCAAAGCTGTTCATACCCCAATATCAGGAGGTAATATAAGTCATAATAATACTTGCTGAGAAAGAGGATCAGACTTGAGCACAACTGTTGTTCACTCAAGATATGCTACTCAAAGGTAAACGTACCCCTTATCAGAACGACAGTGCTATCTATTAGGGCTGTTGGCTCAAGCACATGTCTAAACGTGCTGGTTAATCATAAACAATGATTTGAATTTCTGAGGACATGTCCCCTGGAAGCCAGTTCACTCACAGAGACACGTAACACAATTGTGTCCCTCTGATCCAGGGATCACTTTAAACAACTGCAAATAAAACAGCAGCATTCTTTTGACTCTAATTGGAAAGATGGTGGTGCTGTTCAGTCACTACACTTCACAGTAAAATCGTGTAAAGCACTTTGAGACGATTTGACGACATGATAAGGCGCTCTATCAGGATAATTATCACAGTACCCTAACTCGGAGGCAAAGAGACCCCAGTAGAAATTCAGCCCTACCCAGTCTGATTATTCAAGTTCAGGCTTATTTCTCTCAGAATACAGCAAAGCCTTGTACTCAGAAATAATGCTGAACACTAGCTAAATGCGAGAGCAAAGATTTGAGTGTGGCACCTTATTCCTAACTGGGGCAAATTTGGAATTTAAGAGCTGAGTGCTGCTGTTAACCTTTTAGTGATTTTGAAAGAACCAGAATTTTATGTTTGTGTATGTCTCCATCACTTGTTCAGTTTTTTCTGCTTCAGAATTAACATCCCAATTTCACAACTCTCCAACTGCTGCTTGTGGGCTGCATGTGTTCAAAACTTACTTTTGAAGTTAACCAAGTCCACCAATAGGAATTGGGATTGCAGTGGTTACATTGGAGAAATAGGGGAAATGCAGTAATAAATTTAGTCAATTTCAGCTTGATAACTGAGGCTTTGTTTCGTTGTGTTAATAAAATGTGGGTCCTTAATTTGGAGATTTTAATTTAATCCTTGCATTTGCTACTTATTGGTTGTTGAAATGTCTCAAAGCAGTTATGGGATATACTATAAATTTGAATGAATAGGCGAATGAATAGGCAAATTGTCCTACCAACGTGAAACAGTGTTTCACAGGATACATCGTAAAATCTAG